GTCAAGGAATTGTCAAATTGTGTACTTGAACAAAATGGTTTAGCAGAAAGAAAGAATTGAACATTCTTAGAAATGATTAATGCCATGTGATTAAATGATGAATTACTATTTAGTTTATAGGATGAAGCTTTACTTAGTGCATGTCACATAGTAACTATGATTCCTTTGAAAAAGAATAAGGTTTGTCCAAATGAAATATGGAACTTAACATATGTTATTTTGAAAGTGTGGGGGTGTCTTGCTTACTACAAGAACACGAATCTTAAGAGAGCCAAATTAGGTCCTGAGGCATTAAATGTGCTTTTGTGAGATATGTCTCCAATAGTAAGGCCTATCGATTATTAAACTTAGAATCCAATGTCATAATAAAACCAGGGGTTAAGGAGTTATTTGAAATTGTATTGGTAACAAGAAATTCTCAAAATGGAATGCAGATAGACATTCTCGCTTCTAGAGAATCGCAAGTAAAAACATCTATGAGAGATTTTGAACTATCAAATGAACCTCAAACAAGCAAGAGAGTTAGAAAAAAAGGGGTTTAGGATTGGACAAAATAGACTCCCAACTTAATTCTCTCTACTTAGTCGAGGGAGGTAGGATGGATGTTGTAAGAAAAAAATCATTTTTTTCTTCAAGTTGAAAGAAATCCCAAAACTTATAAGGAGGTTAAATTTTCTATAGATTGCATATTTTGGAAAGATGTAATAAATGATGAAATTGATTCTATCATATCTGACAACACTTGGAAAAATTGTGGATTTACCAAAAGGATCTAAATCCATTGATTGCAAATGAGTGTTTAGAAGGAAATATAATTTTGATAGTACACACAATACCTATAAATCTATATTAAAAGCAAAAGGATATTAATGAAAGGAAAGAATCTATTATTTTGACACATATGCATCTTTAGCTAGGATAACCTCAATAAGGATTTTGTTTGCATTATCATCAATATTTGATTTATAAGTTCATCAAATGGATGTCAAAATGGCATTACTAAATAGGAATCTTGAGGATGAGGTCTATATGGAAAAATCAGAAGGTTTTGCTCTACCGAGAAATAAACATAAAGTATGAAAATTAGTTAAGTCTTTATATGAATTAAAACATGCCCTTAAAAATGGCATGCGAAATTTGATTCTACTATTATGTCATACGGTTTTATTCATAGTTCAATAGATAAATGTTTATATACTAAAGTATGTAATGACATTATTACATTTATGTTTTTATGTGGATAATATGTTGATCATTAGTAACGGCATAGAAGGGATTAAAGAAATGATGATGTTTCTAACTTCCACGTTCAAAATGAAGGATCTTGGGCATGGACACTGTCCTAGGTATCAAAGTTAGAAAGAATAGTAGAGGTTATTCATTAAACTAATCACATTATGTTGACAATATGATAAATAAATTCAAACATTTGAACATTAACAAGGCAAATCTCTCGTCGAATCCAAATATCAAGTATTCATTAAACTAATCACATTATGTTGACAATATGATAAATAAATTCAAACATTTGAACATTAACAAGGCAAATCTCTCGTCGAATCCAAATATCAAGTTAGTAAAGAACCATGGAAGAGAAATAGCTCAAATTGAGTATGCAAGTGCAATTGGAAGTCATATGTATGTGGTACAATGTACAAGACCAGACTTTCCATTTGCTATTAGTAAATTAAGTATGTTTACTAGCAATCTAAGTTCAGGACATTGGAAGACCATATGGAAGGTTTTTGGTTATCTAAAGAAAACAAAAAAATATTGAACTACAATATACAAAGTTCCCTACTATCTTAGAAAGATACACTGCTACTAGTTGGATATCTAGTAAGGGAGAATAAATCTTCTCATGTTGGATATTTACTCTTGGAGTATGTGCAATTTCTTGGAAGTTTAAAAAATAAACATGCATTGCACATCTAACAATGGAGTCCGAGTTTGTAGCATTAGCCAAAATAGGAAAAGAGACTGAGTGGCTAGGGAATCTTCTTTATGAGATTCCTTTGGTTGTAAAGGATATTTCTTCAATACCTATCTTGTGTGATAGTCAAGCTATCTTAGCACTAGCATATAGCAAATTATATAACGAAAAGTCTAGACTTATGAGTCTAAGACACGAATATGTGAGAAAATTAACTAAGCAAGGAATAATTTGTCTCAAATATGTCAAGTCTAGTGAGAATTTAGCTGATTTGTTGACTAAACATCTTCAAAAGAGTTAGTAAGATCAACATCGAAAATGATGGGATTAAAATTCCTTGAAAAGTCCACCAATAATGGCAACCCTACCAAACTATACTAAATAAATATATCTAGATTCAAAGGGCAAGAACAAAGTTATTCAATAAGTGGATAAGTTTCAGGACTATATACCTATTTCAAAATTCTATCCTTGATAAATAGTACAGTTGCTACAGTTGGAGGGATGTGTTTATAAAACTTTTAATAAAATTTAGTACGGGGTATAAGTAAGAACTTCACCTATGTGAATTTTAGAATTTTAGGGTGATGCAGCCTTAATAGAGAGTAAGAGTTTCTCTCTGAAAAGTTCAACGAATACGATAAGTGTAAGACCATAATATTACTAAGCGAGTTTGAGGAACTTGTGAAAACATGAAACTTGTGTGTGATATGTATTATCACAAGAATAACTTGTTCAAATCTTTCATGCTACCTAAAATTTCAATAGTGCTTTGTTAGATTTACACTATTGTTAGATTCAAATTGAAAGGTATATAATACTTATGCATTGGTGATTGATATAATTTTGAAAAAGTGGGGGATTATTGTACTTATTGTTCAAATTGAAGATTTAGGCCTTAAATAGGCCAAAATGGTAAATAGATTTGTGGATACACATTTGGGCAATTGATTTTTTGCCCATGCAATATTTATTTTTTACATGGACATGTGTAGGAATTGAGGTAAAATGCCTACTGCCTCTAAAACTAGCTGGTGTAGCTTATTTTTTGGTTTGATTCTAATACCTTTTGGTGAATGTATTACAACTTTTCATAAATGCTAGGCTTGATTTCATAGTGCATTATTGGAAACTATAAAGATGAGTTAGTATTCCATTCCCAATCAATAAATCATCACTAGATATCCATTTTGTTATTAAAAATTCATCAAACTTCATATTCAAACTATTTCGAAGTTGTCATTTAGTTCATTTAGGAAGAACACTTGTGCTTTGGTGTTATTCTTACATGCTTTATTAATCCTTCAAACTATTTGCCAGAAATCTTAAAAGCATTTGGAGAGGATACAAATATCATTTGAGTTCAACGTTCATCAATGTGTTCGAGTCTTACAAATCAATTTAATTTGGTGTTTCTATTTTCGTCCACTCACACTCTCCCTTGTTTTTCCAACATTATTTTAGTTGTTAAGATCAATATGATGTCATAATGATTTTGAAAGTAGTAGCGTTGTAAGCTAAATCATGGAATTGTTGGCACTAAAGTAATGGTCATCTTATGTTTAACCAAATGGGCTAAAAACCCAATTAGTCTCTACTTGTGTGCATGTTACAATTCGTGGAATATAATGTAAGTATTATTCCCTAAGTTCAATCAACTTTAGACATAAACATTTTTAATATGTAATTGATGCATATTTATGGCAAGAACTATTATTTAATTGAATTAATGTTCTAATAAATTAAATAATGGAATCCGTAGATTCAAGTCACTATAATTTATTAATTACAAGAAGTTGTAATTGTGAGATATAAATTACATATGACTGAATCTTAAATCATATGTGGTCATAACTAATAACGAGATACAAATATCGTTATTAAAGATCGACCATCACGTGTGGCATTATTTGCTTGTGAAGTAAGTAACTGACCTCACAATAGTATTTTATATGAGGAGAGTCATAATTTGTTGAGGTTGGATGTTACTTTACCAAGGGTCACTAATACGGTATCGTTCGGCTATGTCAAGAATTATATGAAGGTTGAGAATGATCAATAGAGGATTTGACACTCTTAGATAGTAAGAGATTATGATCTACATTTCATTCAATTAAGTTAATAATGAAATCCTTGGCCAATGTGACTCCTAAGTCAAAAATGAGTTTTCAACTTACATTAACTTAATAGTGAGATGAAAGATATAATCAATAATTGAGATTGATAAATATTCATATCTCCTTGGCCAATGTGTACTCATAATTCACTCTTTCTTGTTCCCTGTGTGGATTTTCATTTGATGTTGGACAATTAGACAACTGTGGATTGCAGATCATGATTGTTCGTGTTCCAAGATCAGCAAAGGAGTTTACAAAATTTACAATAGGTATTATTCTAAACACAAAGTAGATCCGTGTTGTGAATTGAAAAATAATTTAGTTCCCGCTGTGCATGATTAAGTAAATTCCCAATAGTGGTATCAGAGCCTACTTTGTGCTTGTTGGAAAATGTTTTGCATATTTGAACAATCAAAAGTTGATTGTATGTTTTTTATTTCTAGTAATTTAATTAAAAAAAGGATAATTGTAGCAGCGATACCAAACCTTTCATTAAGTAGTTGACTTTGCCTAAACCTTTCATTTGTACCATCCATGGTACCAATTTTTTCAAAATGTCGTTGTTGAAATCCAAATGGATGGTTCTTTTAGTTTGACTGTTGGTTGACCAAATAATTGATTTTAACAATAATTTTGACTGATTTTAAAAGGTTAAAATGGTAATTTTACAATTTTTTTTAAAAAAAAAACCAAAACAAAATATTTAAAATTAAAAACCCATTTCCACCTTATTCTTTTCCATCCACCCCACATACCACCACCCAAAATCTGCAAATCTAGGAAATCAAAACCTAGAATTAGACCAAATCTAAAATTTCTCCGTTGAAATCCCATTTTTTACAGTGCAAATCAAAACCAATTTTATTCATTACAAATTTGCAAATTTGAGTTTTTTTCAGTACAAATCTGCAAATCAAAACCCATTTTTTCAGTACAAATCTCCATTGAAACTATCTTATGAAATCAGATAATGAAATTAGGGAGAAATTAATTAAACTTATAGTTTTATCTCTCATAGTAGCTGGTCTTAGACGGGATCTTCCAGGGTTGCCATGATTACTATCATAGGAGTTCTTTTCTTTCGAAGAAGGATATCCATTACCTCTCTCGGCAACCTTGCCCTGAGAATGTGGATTAAGTGGTGACCGTTCAATGTTGTACTCGGAGCCTACAATTTGCCTTGCATGTCCAATGGACCTTGCTCCACAGCCTCCATAGTTGTGATGCGTTGATTCATTAGAAGATTTCTGAACCATATTTTCACTTCGAGGAGGCAAATTACTCGATTGTTGAAAATCAAAGTCTTTTCTGCTCATTCTATTGTCAGGCATTGGATTCACTGCTCCCCTTGCAATTGGTTTCTCTATTCTAGTTCATATGGGCTTTGTAAAAACAAGAACACAGCTTCAACGGAGCCCCAAACACAACATTCAAATCAAACCTTACCCACATAACATCCCTTGATTCTAAAATCTCCCTTCTCAGAGAAAGCGCACCCAAAAAAGAGAGAGTAAACTAGATTAGATAAAAGTAAGAAATTCTGGGATTTTGAACACAACATTCAAATCAAACCTTACCGACATAAAATCCCTTGATTCTAAAATCTCCCTTCTCAGAGAAAGAGCACCCAAAAAAGAGAGAGAAAACTAGATTAGATAAAAGTAAGAAATTCTGGGTTTTTGATTTCCCAAATTTATAGATTTGGGGTGGGGTGTGTTGGGTGGATGGAAAAGAAGAAGGTGGAAATCAGTTTTTAATTTTAATTATTTGATTTTGGTTATTTTATTATAAAAAATGTAAAATTACCGTTTTAACATTTTAAAATTAGACAAAATTATTATCAAAGTCAATTATTTGGTCAACTAACGGTCAAACTAACATAAACTATCTATTTGGATTTCAGCTGCGACATTTTGAAAGGTTTGATAATGTGAATAGCACAAATGGAAGGTATGAGCAAAGTCTGCTACTTAATGAAATGTTTGGTACCGCAGCTGCAATTATCCCTTAAAAAAAGGTTGAAAAAAGGGTCAAGTAGAAGCCGATGACCACTGTTGCCGTCAACGAGCAAAAGCAGCAAGCTGCTGGAGTGACGACAGCGCACAGCGGAGTCCAAGTAAATCAGCACCCGCGCTGCTGGACAATATCAACTGACACCTTACTTTTATGTTCCACGGAAACTAGAGAAATTTTAGATAACTTACCTAAAGGACATGCTAAAACGACGGTTTAGAATTACTAGAACTCAACAAATTATTGGATTTTAAAATAGAGAAAACTGATCGGCGATGAGGATGGCCCAATCTTTCATGCTAAGTCGAGAGCAGAACAACTTCAGCCACATTAACCTCTTTCCTTGGTAAACGAAAAACATACATGCCATGTTCACTCTAACCTCTGAGTATGATTTCATTGGTCACCTGGTCCTTAACAAAAATATGAGTAGGCTAAAATTCAAAAAAACATTTGTTATCAGTGGTGAATTTTTGGACCGAAAGAAAAGATTGCTGAATTTTAGGAACATGAAGAACACTGTTTAAAATAAAATTGTGATTTGAAGAATGATAGGTGGCAGTACTTGTATGAACTATTGGCAATCCTTGTTTGTTTCCAACTTGCAATTGATCATGACCCTTGTAATCATAAGCAATACTTAAATTTTCTATATCTGGAGTAACATGGTGCATTGCCCCGTGTTTGGTGTCTACGAAAAAAATTGAGTACTTTGATAGAATTGATTTTTTGACACCGGTAGAGAAGAGGGTGTCGTCCACATCATGTGTGCTTGAGGAGCCTGGCGTGATGAATTTTGCCTTAGTGTATATCGGCATCGGTACTTATCAGCTGTATGATTCTAAAACCCAAAATTTTGACAGGTAACTTTGCCACATTGTGGGAATAAAGGTCGAAAAGGACCCGATATGGTGCTCGGTATAGAAGTTGACGAGTGAGGCAGTTGTGTCATAGAAGAGGCTTTATAGGCAGCATTTACAATAGGTAATTCTTGACAACTTTTTAAGAGAATCTCATGGACAATAAGCTGCCCATGGAGTTCATGAAATGAGACAAGCTCAGGTCTCATATTAAGAGAAGTTATGATTGAATGAAATTCTGCTCCAATGTTGCAATAAATAATCGCATTGAATTCGCTGGCGAAATAGTGCAACCAGCAGTGGCGAGTTCATCAACTAGTGATTATTCCTTTTGAAGAAAAGCAGACTTAGATAAATCAAGCTTCTTCAATTCTTGTAATTCTATGTGAAGTTGAAGTTGCCAGTTCTGTGAAACTGAACCAAAGGATTTTGACAAAGCATCCCAAACGGTAAAGGATAAATCAAGTCCAATAATATAAGGAAAAAACTCTTCGCTTAGTAAGGACAATAACCAAGCAATGAGCATTTGATCATTTTTATACCAGTTAAGATATTCAGGGTTGGGTGTTATCTTAGGTGGATTGGTGATGGCAGTAATTGTTTTGGGTGGTGCAATTTCAGTTCCATCAATAAAACCTTCAAGGTTTTGATAATTGAGTAGTGGTAAAAATTGAGTTTTCGAAGCTAAATAATTTTTGGAATTAAGTTAAAAGAATGATGGAATGATGTTGTAGAGGGTGAAGTAGATGATGGAAGAACAATAGTTCTTGAGATGTTTGACATATTGTTGCCTATGGGTCTGATACAATGTAGAGGAAAATAATGAAAAGTAAATTATTTTTTTTTCATGTATTTGAATGACAATATACAAACCTATTTAAACAAGTCTATGAGATAAGAATAAAACAAATAAAGAGATAAGAATACAGTAAAAAAGGAAACTAACCTAATCAACTCCTAATACACGGTAATTGATATACTATCAATAATAGAAAGAATATTATCATTTATCCCTTAACAGGTATCAGAGATTCAAGGTGCTGGATTTGGCTATAAAATCGTTCAGATCTCACTATAGAACCTGAAACAGAAAACTAACAACACCAAAATGTTAGAAATAATGTTAGGAACAAACTGTCTATAGACACCGTCACCAGAAACTACTCTATGGAATGCCATAGAAGACGGTGAGTAATCCCATGTACAGATAACCTTACCGGCATGTGAAGACGTGTCTTTGGGATATCAACGACGAATTTTGACGATATATTTCTCTTGAAGGCACGGTGGAACTTGTGGTGGTATTTGATTTCTGTTTTAGGTAAAATTGTGGTTCTCGACAGTTTTACCCTTTGTGTGTTTGGGATTCGATCATGGTTTATTGATTTCTACAATTGCTTGAGGCTTTAGGGCGAATAGGGTTGGCCCTAAAGTAGTAAATTCGTATCTCTCATTATTTTCGGATTGTGGATTGATCTGCTCTTGTATATTGGCTTATACCATTTAAATCCCAGTATTAGCGAGTCATCGTGTGAGGGTGACATTAGGATTAGGCGTTAGCTTGTGGAGTAATCATTGCTTCTGTATTTAATTGCCATTAAGTCACTGTGTGAGACTGCATTACTTGATAAACTAAATTTCTGTTGACATACCTCTGTGTTGCATTGATTATTTTGTTAGAACATCGAGACTTGACCCGTTTGAACATTCCTTTGATCTGAGATCGTGATTCTCACGAAACTCTGAGAATCTAGAATTGTGTATATTACGGTTATAGAATTATTTTTTGCGACCTATTTGTGTACTTTGGTTGTTTTGTTTTCCAAAATGTTTTCATATTTCGAAGTTGGAAGTTTCAACGAAAAAATGACATTTTTCAATTTGTCAACAAAAGATGAAGGGGATTTTGGTTCAACAAAAAGTTTCAAAAGAAGTAGATGGCAATTTTCTTGCTGATTTAACAAAAGTAGAAAAAGAAGAATATGATGAGCTTGCCTACACTTCAATTATTTTATACCTATCTGATGCTATTTTGAAAAAAATTGAAAAATTTAATTCTACAAAAGAACTTCGGAAAAAGTTGGAGGACTAATATTTGCTTAAGTCTATTCCTAATAAGTTGTACTTGCGTGAATGATTTTTCAGTTCTAAAATGAATCCTTCAAATGATCTTAATGACAATTTGAATTTTTTTAACAAGTTTGTTCAATGCATTGTTAACTGTGATAAGGTATTTGAAATATATAAGGCCATTATTTTGATCAATTCTATGTCTGAGTCATTTAGGAAGGTTAAAAATGCAATTAAATATGGTGGAGACACTTCAACATCCGAAATTGTCATTGATTCTCTTAGAAGTAAGGAAATGGAGATTAAGGCTGAAAGAGTCAATAAGAGTAGTGGTGTGGGTATATATGATGATGAGTATAATGAAGCTTAAGCAGATTAATCTGGATAAGGCTCAAGACCGTAGTGACTAGAGTGATGAGGGTGGTAAGAAAAAAGGCCAGGGCTGGGACAAGCCCGGTGGTAAGAGGGGTTACAAATAGGGCATGTCTGGGCATTTTGTGAGGGACTGTCATAAGAATATGGATAAGTAGAAGGGTAAGATGAGAGATAAGGCAAATGTTTCTATTGGGTCGAGTGATGACCCTAGTGAGGTTTATTGAGAGTAAACCTAGTTACTACACATGCATTTGTGTGTAATCTTTTTTGCACGTGTGGGATTATTTAATTATGTTGCATGATTATATGTTGCATTTCAATATGTTTGATATGTGCATTTGCATACATAGTGGGTTAAGATGCATTAGAGGTAAGTGTGTTGTCTGATTTTCAATAATGTGGGGTATAGATGTTTGAGGGTTCACTGGTGGTACATACTAGGGATGTGAACTGTGACATTTCGATCATGAGTAGAGATATGATTAAATTTCTGGAATCCTTAATTTGTGAAGACCCTGATCATGTGGAGCGTAAAATTGACACTTCTATCACTTCTGTGAGGTAGGACCCATAATCCACTTAGATTTAGATAAGTGAGGTAGAGACAGAGGATTATCCTATGGACTTAGGATTTATTGTGGTTTACCAATTAAACATGAGTTTAGTGATCAATCTAGTGAGCATGGTTGTCAATGAGAAGAGATATGTGTTCTTGAGCTGCGAGGTTGCGAGCAGTGCGAAATGGGATATGATAAGTTTTGTGAGATGTTTTCGCGGGGTCATTTATGCATTTGTTGCA